TATATATTATATTTATATATATTATATATAGTTATTGTATAATTATATAATATTTTAAAATTATATATTTTAAAATTATATAATATCTAGAAATTTGAGAAAGTACAGTATTGATAACCATATTAAAATTATCTGTGTCTAAGTAGCTTTGAATTGTATTTATTTGATCAATTTTTAGATATAAAGACAAAAAATCTCTAATTCTGGAAACTAGCAGTGATTTGGTTGATTAGTTCAGTTCAAAGAAGCGATTGTCTACCTTTAATCTTTTTCAGAAAAGGTTCTCTGGTTTGTGATCTTTCTTCCCTTGTTCAAGCTAGCAAGCAGAGACAAGGTTAAATAACTTTAAATAACTTCCTCTATGTCTCAGTTTCCTCACCTATAAATAGGGGATTAATAAAGCATACCCACCTCCTGGGAACATTAATAGTTTGACTAATAAATGACAATATGATGCTGAACAACGACTGAGCATTATTATTAGAGAAGAAAGAAAATCTATCATCAGATTTTACCTTTCTGGCATCTGTTGCCTTGGTAACCATATTTGCACGTGCAACTACCATTTTTGGCACTGCATTCCAGGGTGTTCTCCTCCACACACTGACATTCAGAAGAGCAGCCAGCTCCGTAGACCCCCTTGGGACAGTCTGCAAGCAGATTGAGGCAAACTGGTCACCTGAAAATCATGCTTTCTTTATTTTAAATTGTTAGTGCACAGGCACGTCGTTCTGTAGGGCCTGATTATAAGGAAAACAAGGGGATCATCCTAACTGCCAAAAAAGAAAGAAAGAAAGAAATGTCTTTCAAATCAGGCAATTCATTTGCTTTTTGGCAACTGGATGTGAACAATGAAGCCTGAATTACTTAAAAGGCTTTGGTGCTTCCGGGAGAGAAATTGCTTCTCAATGGGCTCCATTGGTGCCTATAGCTAATATTCTCAAAGGACTGCTATGGCTGCCAGGTCTCATAGCCATCCTGCTGCAGGACCAAGGCGATGGACAAGCATTTATGTGAAGGCTCTCCATTGTTTTCACCCCCGTTCATTACATGATAATTGGAAATAATTTTACATCATGCAGATAACACAACTCTTTCACTGGTGACAGCAGCATTATCTTGACCACATCTTTGAAATGGTGTTTTCCCTCCCTTTCTTATTTTTCCCATGCCACTGAGTTTTAGGGATGGTAGCATCAGAATTCTAATTTGAAAATGTTTCACCTTTGCTTTTAAGAGAACATACTTGTATTAGTCTCTTTGAAGAGCTTCTTGATTAATTCAATTCCCTTTCCAAAATGTACTTCTGACAATTTTGTTGTTCCCCATTATAAATGTTCCAGGGAGTTATCAAATGAAAGATACTTTCAAATTCCCTCCAGGCTCAAGGCAATTGTTTTGTGTGCCCTAATAGGCTTTGCTATAGAAAACTGCTTGCAGAAAATAAAACAAGCCATTTGACTTTCTGGAGAATGGGAAGGAGCATTGGTAGAGATCAGTCAAAGTGGTGGTTATAATCACACCATGTAGGATGATCCTTGTCCTTGTTGCCAAAGGGAGTCCAGAGCTATCTTTAAAGTGAAACAATTATTTCCAGGACCTTTTAATACTTAAAAGTGTCCAATCTGGATAATTTGGAATCCTTTCTCAACCCGGAAACCACAGTCTCACAGTCGACCATTTGCCTTGATGTAGTTCTCTTCTTGCTCATTCCAGAATATTCTCCCTGAATTGGATCCCTGATTTCCTAATTCTCAGTACCTCAGATTGTGCCCTTATTTGGAAATTTGATCCTTGCAGATATAATTGCTTAAGATGAAGTCATACTGGGATAGAATGGGATTGTAACTCAATATGTATAGTGTCCTTATAAGTAGGGGAAATTTTTACACAGAGACATGCACATAGGAAGAGCACAATATGAAGACTGGATTATGTCAACACAGGACATGGAACTACCAGAATCTAGGAGAGGTGTGGACAGATCCCTCCTTGGCCTCTTTAGAGGGAACATGACCTTGCTGACACCTTGAAATTAGACTTCTAGCCTCTAAAATGTGAGAAAACAATATTTTTGTTGCTTAAGGCATTCAGTGTGTGATACTTAGCTATGAGAGTCTTAGGAGAACTAATGTAAAATTGTAAACTCAATCTTCTCAGGTCTAGTCAAGTGATATTAATAAATGAAGCTACCAGCCCAAGAATAATGGAGTCCTAAAGAACCAGAATGTATACATGCTCTCCTGAATATGGTCACATTCAAAATACTAATGACCTCCACCACTACCACCACCACCAACAACAACCTTGCTTGCTCTATTTTCTCCTTACTTTTAGCTCCCCAGAGCATTCAGATTAATGAAAGTATGTTAGGCTGATATTGAAATTTTAAAAGCTTCAATTTTATATGTTTCTTAAAAGTTAGCTCTTTAAGTTTTTGGCCAGATGTTTTATGATTTATTTTTTTCAGCCCAGATATCTGATATGGTCTTATAAAGTACCAAATATGGAGTATATCTTGCTTTTAGGGACAATACTAAAAATGATACTGTCTTTATTTCTAGGCCAGTCTGCTTCTTGCGCACGTTCAAGGAGGTACCTGGTATTCTGGAACATAACATATGCACCTCCACTACTCACTTACCCATGCCTTGCCCCTTTTTCTTATATTTTGTTTATCTAAGGCTAGCCTTTCTTCATAATCCAGGTTCAGTTTTCAGTGATGCCTTCATTGGCTCTCTTGTTGGGGTATTCACAATTAACTCCCTATTCTCCAGGGACAGGCCTTGTATATACAGATAAGACTCATGGACATTCAACCAGAGATAAACTATAAAACTCTAAGGTGTCTGCCATTAAGAGATGGTCATACTACCACTGAGAGTTTGAGTCCTCCCAAAATTCATCATGGTGATGCTATTTGGGACATTATGTCATGTGAGTGGAATCCTCCTGAGTGGAATTAATGACCTTACCAAAGAAGCCCCAGAGCTCATTTGCTTGTCTTTCTATATGAGGACACAGTGAAGGACATTGTCTCTGAACCAGAAAGTAGGAGACCCAGAACCTGTGGTGCTTTGATCTTGGACTTCTCAGCCTCCAGAATTAAATAAATTTCTGTTGTTTATAAACTACTTAGTTTATAATCTTCTTTCATAGCAACCTAAACAACATAAGACACTAAAGGTCCCTCAGGAAAGACTCTCAAGAGGAACCAGGGCTTCAATAGGAAGAAGAGGGATTTAGAATAGATAGAGGAGTGGGCTGAGGTCAGGCTCACATACCCTGCACACAGCCTCAGGTGGATAAAGCTTTCAGAGTTATCCTGTTGGGAGAAACCCTAAAAGATATGACAGGGTGTGTTTATTGAATGATTGATGATTGATTGCTGAATATGCTTTCTTGAATCTTTTGCAAAATGTGACTGGTCTTCAAAATGCCAAATGAAGAATCCTTTTCAGAGACCTTAAGGAATAATACTGTTTTGCATTTAAGCCCAGGAGACTTGTTCTGGGCCCTTGGTATTTGACTTTCTTAAAGTATCACATGTGGTAAACAAGCTATGAATACTCATTGCTCAATAATTAATAGAAATATTAACTAGAAAAAATATAAACATTCAGAAATTTTTTCATGCATCAGTATCTAGATTCTAAAATTTAGAGGCTAAATAAAGATGAGAACATACTCTATACTATATATCACCATATAAACTGGCTTTTCCTCTGCTCCTTTGTCTGATATATTCTCCATAGCTCTCTGAGCTATTATGTTTCACACAGAGAGCAAATAGTGTTTGTGACTTACTCAGATGACAAAACCTCCCAAAGCACCCGGGCTCACACACACAGGTGCCATACATCCTGTGGCAATGGCCATTGTTGGCACAGTTACATTTTCTTCTGCAGTCCTTCCCAAAGAACCCTCTCAGGCATCCTGGAGGGTGAAGAATAAACAAAGCAAATATTAACCCACATGCAAAATATTGTTTGTATTTATTTATTTATTTATTTATTTATTTATTTATTTATTTATTTTTGGTACCGGGAATCAAACTCGGGTCCATGTGCTTGTGCAGCAGGCAAAATTTTGTTTTTATATGAAATAAGAAGCTTGAAAAAAGTGAGATGTTTCATATCTGGTTGGACTGAAGCAAGAGAGATCTGGAGTGCTCTTCTCTTCCTCTTCCTTTGTCTCATTTCTTCTCATCCTGCATGCTTCTCCTTAAGTGTCACTCCTCCAGAAGTCTTTCCTGGTTTTATTCACTATCTCACTTCCACCCAGGCATTAATATTTAATTTTTAAAGCCTATCAACTTTTGTGACCTATGTTTGTCTTAAACAAGATTGTAAGTTCCACTTGGAGAAACTAGAGTCTTTTCTATTTCTTTTTAAAAGTCATATCAGAATGCCTGGCATAGTCTTTGCCACCATTTAGTATTTTAAATAAATAAACAAATATTATTCACAGGGACAAGTAACTGGGATGCCAGCAGAAACTTTGCTGGGCCTCAGAACATGAAGTGAATCTGGTTTCCATCTCCCCAGTTCCACAGACTGTAATTCTTATAAACTCTCCATGACTTCTGGCAACCCCTGGACACTAATATCCTCATGACTTTCTACCTTCAACTCTTGTCTATGAATAAGCAGTTTGTTTTTGTGTGTGTGTGCTTGGCCAACCCATGTAGGAAATATGGCCTCTCCACTGGTTTCCATGAAAAATCCATGCACAGTATCCTCTGGCAATTTGTAAGAGTTTTGTTCATCATGTTTCTTCTCTTTACTTCTCTAGCTCCTATCCTTTTATTCTCTGATTTTCATCTTTTTTCTTCCCTGTTTACTTTAGGTACCTCATTTTTTTCCTTCTATTATTCAGAGCAAATAAATTCTCCCCAGGTGCTGCATCCAAACACAAACTCAACTTTTAGTTCAACAGAAAAAAAAAAGGGGGAAAGAAAGATTTTTTTGTATGTCACTTTAGAGCACAGCTGGTGATTTAAGTATCATGTATTTTGTTCAGTTACACATGGCATCAGTCAAGGCACCATATCCTTGTGCATATAGACAAGGGTTTTACTCTTTCAGGAAAAAAGCCACTTTGAAAAATAAAGATGCACCTTTCACTTAGATCATCTCCATTAAAATCCCCAAGAAATTAAAGAGTAGTCTTGTGTGACTGGCAACAGGCATCCCTACCTTCACAAGTTTTCCCTCGTACCCCTGGGGGGCACCAGCACTGCCCAGTCAGAGGATCACAGGTGCCTCCATTCTGGCAACCACAGATGCTGCCACACCTTTTCCCATGAGTCTCTGGGGAGCAAGCTGTGAAAAAAATAGGAAAGACGAACAAGTAGTGTAGCATACTTTTCATGTTACAAATGGAGGGGGAGGAAAAGTTTGACTTCCTATTAGGATGGATACCAAGTAATTAAAATCATCAGTAGCTTCCAGACACAGGAAAATCTTTGGCATACTCCTAGTTTGTGTGGCATAATCATTCTCAGGGGATTACTGATACCACTAGTTAAAATAATGATGACTGAAGGAAGTTAACAAGGCTCAAATGCAAAATATACCTCATTCCTTAAACTCTAACCTTTACATTTTCAAAGCTTCCCAGACATCATAACTGTAAACTCTAACTAACCTTAATGAGAAACAAACTGCATTTTCTTATTTTGAAAAACTATAAGGAAACACAGAAAAAAAAAATGTCGTCTATTTTTAAACAGGAATGAATCCAGATAAGGTTCTTTTGAGGTTTCAAGGTACTTTGCATCGTCAAAGATGGATGAAGTTAAGCAAACAACAATTTTCTCTGGTTTGTTGAAGGTTTTTTGGAAGTATTTAGTGTTTGAATAAAATATATATTGAGAAAAACATCTAGGATTTTATTTTAAATTGAGTAAATAAAGATGTTCAGGTAATTTCAGTAATCATTTTTACAAAAATTTTATCATAATAAGATAAATAATATAAAACTTTATTTATATCATCTCCTCTACTACCTCCCTCCCTCCCTCAGCACTCTGAATACGAATATAGAACTTAGCTTCCTATTTACCTTTTCCTTTACATTTAAACCATAGGCAATTATGAAAGGCAAAGAAAAGGGAAAGAGGGAAGAGGAGAGGAAGAGATCAGAAAGGAATATTTGTTGAGGCCTACATTGTTAAATTACTTTATTAAGTCTCTAAATCTTACAGTAAACATAGAAGAGACAATTCTTAAAAATATTCCTGATGAATGAAGCTAAAGAATTTGAATGGGTTTCCAGAGTTCCCAGGTTAAAGGCCATCAATGTAAGCAAGCCAGCTCTGTTACCAAACACTGCTCCACAAGCAGACTACGATACCATAAAACTGACGAATGTGACCGATGTTTCTTTACAACCCAATGCAAAGGTCCTGAAGAAGAAAATTTTAAAACAAACATGTCCCAAACTGCAAATGGATGAGTTAGAGAACATCATAATGTTCTAGTCCACTCACTAGTTATATGAAATTACTCTTTTATTCCCTTTCCATTAATCCTACAATAATAATTTCAAATTAAATTTCTTTAGAAAAATGAAGTTCTAAAAATTTGCTATTAAAATCAAATACTATGTGGTATTTTAAAAATCTTTTCCTTATAATTAATTGGAGATTTTCCTAAAAAGTGAAAGTAGATATTTTTATGTCTAGACTGACAAAGATACTGGGCTAAAAGATCTACTTTGTGGCAAAACTTACTTTCCTGATCCCCGCTGAGTATTCATTTTACAATTTTTTTTGCTGTATTTTAAAAGCTGCTATTAAAAATATGGGCAATATGTGGTTGATCACTGTTATTCATTGTGGTTTATAAGAATTTTTAAGAAAATATTTCCTCTGTTTATTAGAGAATTAGTGAACATTTTTATGTCTGGCTGGTTAATTTTTTTTTTTTTTAGGAAGAAGGTGGACAGATATTATTTATTTATTTATTTATTGTACTATGGATCAAACTCGGGACCTTGCGCCTTCGAGGCAGGTGGCAGAAACACTGAGCTAAATCCCTGGCACCAATTCTGGTATCTTTTTTTAAAATATTATTTTATTGGTACATTTTAGGTATACAGTATAGTGACATTCATCATTGGAAATTTGCACCTTTACATAATCTCTCTTGGTTCTCATTTTTTCCCCATTCCCCTACCCTCCCTTCAACCCCTCCAGCCCTCTCTACTTACAAAGACTTTGTTTCCATTTTTCATTTCTCATATTAATTCCATTCCCTTCTTTCCTTTCCCCTAGCCCTCCCATTTCCCCTTCCCCTTTGCCCCTTTTCTTCCTATTTCACATTATCTATTACACCTTTTAGTCCTTATTTACACTTTCAGTTTCTCACACTAGAGAAACTATTCGGTATTTACACATGTGTGCTCTGTTTATTTCACTTAAGAGTATCGCCTCAATGTGCATCCATTTAGCTATAAATGTCTCTAATTTCTCATTTTTTATGGCTGAGTTCAAATGAGTTCCTTCATTTGGGGAAGATCCCCAGCAGGAGAATAGCTGGTTTCAATGGGACTTCCAGTCCTAGTTCTTTGAGGTATCTTCATACTGATTTCCACAGTGGTTGCACCAGTCTACACTCCCAC